CCCTGAATTTCAGACAGCAGCTCTATTTTAAAAAAAACAGCCTCCTGAAATGTTAATTTTACAGTTAAGCAAACACACTGCAGGACATAAATTAACCCCACTCCAAAATAGCTTGTTTTTCTGCTTGTTGAGTATCAGCTCAGATTTATTTGCTGTGGACCAAATTCAACAAAGTACTTAAGCACATGCATAACTTTGATCATGTAAACAGTCCCACTGATGCTATTCACATGCTTAAATATATGTACACAGCTAAATAATTTGCTGAATCCAGACCTACTTTACTCTATCTCAAGAAAGCATTTTCAGAGTTGTTTTATTCCAACCATGAAGAGTTTACTGCAAATACAATACTGAAAGCTGTGTTGATTACTTGTAACTGGTCACACAGAGCTGTTTCTGTTCTCAATGAGCCTGATTTTATAGTCTGGATTAAATTTAAACAGCCCATTGAGACACTGGATTTCTCAAGGTGAAATGACAGTGGAAAGGGCAGCAGTAGCTGAAGACAGATCAAGGAGAGGAGGAAATTAAGGAACCTCAGAAACATTATCTTCCTGGTTTTGGTCAAAAAGGCATAATTCTTTGAAAATTTACATAACCAAAAGGCATGTGGGCCTATTTTCTCCTTTTTGTCCTCATTAAGAACATATGTGTAAGACTCTGTGTGTGTGCGGCTGTGTGGTGTAAGGAATTCCCTGTACAATGCTCAGTGCTATCATCAAGAGGGCATTTTACTCCTTTCCTGGGATGCTTCAATTACCTCTTTGGCAAAAATGAAGGAGGATCTTTATGGGAAATCTGCCTCCCAAAACATCAACCAATGATACGGATCTTAAAACATCTCTGGCTAGATCCTCAAGATTTTCACATAAATGTAAGGATGTGCTTAAATGTTTTACTGAATTAGAGTCCCTACACTTCTCCAGCAATGTGCAAAGGAAGGGTTGACTGAAGGTGAATGAAACACAGTTTTTAGGATTACATATAGTATAACTAAGTTAGGAAGCTATTGGGGTGACCACAGAGAGCAAGGAACTGTCACAGCAGAAGCATCCTACAACAGCACAGATTTGTGTCCCTGGCTGGTACAATTTAGCATCACTCTGTAATATCTTCCTAATCAGTTTTCTGGGGAAACATGGCATCTTGTTCTTTCAATATAGTTTAAAGAACAGCTAGGCTGCTATACTACATAGGAGTGGTATTTGTACAAGTTTAGCCCTATTTTACAGCTGGATTTGAAGTTAATTTCCCTCCTTTTTTTTTTTTAATGACCACTGTCGTCTTCCCTGTTGGCAATAGCCTTGGTCAAATTCTACATGGTTTATTCAATCCCAGCAATATAGAGATTTTATTTTCTCTTTTTGCCACCACCTCATCTTCCCAAAGAGTTCCATTTTAATGTGAAAAATCACTCTCAAAAACGTATTTGATGCCCTCCCTGGAAATACCGGTTTATCAACCTGTGCAAAAATTACTCTGAAAATTTCACAAACATTATTTTGAAAGAGAAATGTCTTATCTTCAGTGCCTTCATAACCAAATTACAAAAGGGAAATAGGAAAAATCAGAATATTAAAAATGCCTATGCTCTTTCTAGCTACTAAAGTTCTGTTACAGCCAGCAAGTGAAATACCACACCAACGGTAAGCATAAGCATTTTATGCCTTGTTATGTGTGTTCTGAACATCTTCACCAGAAATGTCTTAATTATGGCCATTAATTTCTCCTTTATAAAAGGATGATTTTCACTCACTGATGTAAACTTTCTAACAGGAAATTATAGAGCAAGTATATAAAAATTATATGTTGGGTTTGAGAAACTAATCAGCATGCTAGTTTTCAATAGAAAATGTGAGGTGTGATGTTCTGGCTCCCAGTTCTGCTGAACACCTGGAGTGGTAAACAATACAAACCGATTGACTAATCAAGTACTTGTTTTCAGTAAACCATTAACTCCTTGAAAAAAGTTTTTCTCCTAGCAATAATGTCCCAGGTCATATGGTTTCAGTAGTTCCCCAGATCACTTGCCTCCCTTCATAAGAATCTCTGAGCACTCTGGATTTTGAGAAAGGGTCTTCCACGAATTTTATAGCTCCTGTTGCATTTACAGACTTTGTGAAAAAAGGAAACAGTGGTATTCTCAGTACAGTACTTCTTGGGATCTTTACAGGAACATTTGGTTAAGTATTTGCAACAATCTACCTGAAAAACACATCCCTTTTTCCTGCTTTTAAGTTGTCTGCTGACACTCTTGAAAGTCATAGTAAAAAAATACTTAGTGCAAAAAAATCTCATCCAGTAGATTGCAGGAGAACTGGTCAGCAGCACCGTTCCTTTCTCCCAGTTGGGTTTTTTCAGTTTACTAAGGTGAAGGTGTGTGTGTGTGTGTGTAGCTGACCACGGAAATCACATGCTCCCCAACAGATTCCTATCATCTTTGCAATTTCTTCCTAACCAAACCTGATTTCATGTTGTGCTTGAGGTCTTTCTCACAGACTGCTTACCACCTCTTCCCATCTAAAAGAGCATAAAAAGGTATAGACACAGGTCAGAACTAAAAGCGATGTCCTTCTGTGTCCAGAAGACTTTTTCAGCAGGACCTTTATATCTCACCAGGTGGGCTTATGGAAAAATATGCTCGGTGGTATACAGCCACAAAGGAAGGCATGGTAGTTACCCAACATCCAGAGCTACTAGAAATATTTGTAGAAACATCCCCGAACCTAAATCTTGCAAATATTTCTATGTTTGCACTGAAATTGAAGCACGTATATGCTCTTGAATATGTTCTCCGTGTGGCATCAATGCAGAGTCACAGGGAAGCAAAATCCTGCTCTCACCTAAAGGATCGGTACTTAAAAAAAAAAAAAAACAAACCACACACACACACACAAAAAAAAAAAAAAAAAGAAAAAAAAAAAGAAAAAAAAAAAAAAAAGAAAGTGTGCTAGACTCAAAAGCCCACAAGAGGAACGGTACGGGAATGTTGTTGAAATGGTGATAACACAAACAACAACAACAACAACAAACTTCTCTTGATAAGACTCTTCTTTAAATGACCAGCGTGTCCTGGGCTCTGCCCGTGGTGCCCAGGCAGTTTGGAAAAGGCCCCCAGCCCCGGGCAGAGCTGGGAATGCCCACGGCTGCCCTGCTCCTGCTCCCGGGAGCTGCCCCAGCGCCAGTGTTTGCAGAGTGAAAAACGTCTGTGAGTCACAGCTCTGAAGTTCGCTTTCAAATAGGTTTGGTTTGATTAGAAACGGTCGTTTTTCCTATGCCGAGTTGCACAAACACAAAACTGATTAAAACTTCTTATTCAAAACTTTCTGCCCAAAATAGCCGTCTGTTTAAGTCTTTGCAGCTCTGAGGTTTGGTGGTTTTTTTTTTTGTTTGTTTTTTTTTTTTTTTTTTTAATTTTGCTTTGTTTTTCCGGCGAATTTTCCATCATCAAAATCCAGAGCAGAAACAATAGAAAACACTGACCGCCGGCTTTCCACATTTGTCAAACACAAACACCAAAGGCATCCTCGGCTTCTTCCAGAAACAATAGAAAAAAAATCTCAAACAAACTAACAGAAACCCACGCCGTGGCGGTGCCCCGGCCAGCAGCTCTCACGACGCTGCCTCCGCGGGGAGCGGGGCTCGCCCTGCCCGCCCGTCCCGCCGGAGGTGGGCGCGGGAGGCTCCGAACTGCGCCCCCCCTACCCGGGGAGGGGTTGTCGGTCAGTCCCGGGGACTCCGCCGGGTCGGGGGGTGTGTGTGGGGGTGGGGGTGTATTTTTAGGGAAGGCTGTAGAGCCTCCGCGGCGGCGGCGGATGGGGGGGGGGGAGGTTGCGGGGGGAAGGATGCGGCGCGGACCGGCGGCGGCCGCGGGGGGCAGCGGGCGGCTGCGGCTTTAAGAGCTCCCACAATGCCGTGCTGGCGTCCCAGTTCCGTTACATGTCTCTCCCGGTGAAGGGGAGCGAGGGAGAGGCAGGAAGGGAGGCGGGGGCGGCCGCTCCGGGTGGAGGGAGGGAGGACGGACACCCCACTCGCGGCTCGGGCGAGAGGCGGCGGGGTCGGGGGAGGAGCGGCTAGGCGCCCTGGAGGGCCGGGCCGGGCCGGGCCGAGCCCCCGGGCGCTGGGCCGGCCGCGCCGCCCCCCCCTTCCCCCCCCCCGCCGGGCGTGAGGCGGAGCCGGCGGCCGTTGGGGCCGTTGGCGCTGGCCGCCGCGGGACGGGACGGGACGGGGCAGGCGCTGAGCAGCCGCCGGCGGAGCGGTAAGTGCGCGGCCAACTCCGGCGCGGGCTCGTCCCGCCGGAGCCCGCCCTCCTCCCCTGCGCCCGTTGCCGCTGCCCCGCCGCCCTGCTCCTTCCCCCCTCCCCTCTCCCGCAGCCCACCCGGCTCCGCGTCCCGCCCCGGGCTCTCCTCCGCCCTGGCGGCTTTCGTCTCGTCCCCGCGGCGGGGTGTGGGACCCTTCCCTGCCGCTCCCCCCTCGCCCCCTTCTCCCCTCTGCCTGCACTCGCCAACTTTCCCGTCCGTGATTGCCCGTTTCCTACCTCCCCTCGGATTTGCAGGTTTTGGGTTGGGTTGGGTTATTATTATTTTTTTTGGCGTTTTTGGCTTTCTCGTTCCCCCTTACGCGTCTCCCCTGCCCACTCGCACTCGTTCCTGTCCTTTCGCTTCTTGCTTCGCTACTTCCCCAGCTCCCTCCAGCTTTTCCTCTCTCCTGGCATTTTGTCTTTCTCCTTCCTTCGGGCATCGTGTGGAAAAGTGAGGGATATTTCTCTGTGTCCTTGAGGAAGGGAGTTAAGAAGCTACTTTTTCTTACGCAGGGAAATCTTTGTAGTAATTTTCTTTTTTTTCTCCCTTCCCTATTACTGTCTCCGAAGAGAAAATTAATCCTATTTTGCCCTTTTTTTTTTTTTTTTTTTCCCCTCTTCCCCCCCCCCCCCCCCCCCCCCCCCCCGACGTGGACTGTTTACTTTGGTCTTTTTTTCCCCTCTCCAGACAGTACCGATGTTTCACGATTAATCTCTTTTATTCCTGCCCCAACCCCTCCCTCTCTCTTTCTCTCCCCCAGTAAGAAAAGAGATTAAAAACAAATCTGTCTCGCCAGCAGGGAATGTATGAGATTTATTTTTTTTCTGTGGGAGGGGGAGGCTATTGATGAGAAAAGCTTAAGCAAATACAGTACGGTAGGACAATGCCCAGGCATGAACTTTAAAGGGTAAGAAAATGGATTCTGCTTCTTGGTTTATGCAGCTCTAAACTCTGTTGGTGGGAGGGTCTGGGCCAGGGTCCGGTCTGGGGTTGTAGCAGTCTGGTGTGTGCCAGCCCGTTTTCACCCTTCAGCAAAGCAGCGTTTTAACGTGCCAGCAGAGCCGTGTGCGAAATTGCAGTTTAATATTGCTCGTGGGTGTTTCATCAGTGTGGAAAATCAGAAGGGGGGGAAGGTTACAGATTTCAGTTGTCCATTTTAGAATTACACCTGTCATGGTTTCCATCCCAAAACTGTAGATATATCAGCGGTTGATACATTAACAGAATTGCTGGAAACGGCTTACATCCGTGTCAGAAAGTGCTGTTGTGTGGTTTGTGGAGTCTGGTTCGGACCTCACAGGCTTCTGCCTCTGCTTTAGTCATCATCTGGCATTAAAATTAAGTGTGTGCCAGGCTATGGAGCGCAAGTAAATCAATTGCCTAATGATTTCTGCAAAGACACCTGTTTAAGGGTTTTCAAGCTCCTGGTTAATTGTGTTTGGTAGTGGTGTGAATGTGTTAAGGGTTGTAAAAGTAGAGAGCTATGTCTTTTTCACGAGAGAATATGTAGTTTATGAATAGCACGTCAACTTTTAGGTTAAAAGGAAAGAGCGTGGGTCTTGGTTGTGTTATGTTACCTCTTTTGATAGTTGCTGTTCCAGAAGACCACAAGGTTACGAAGCTAAATCACAAATTAACTAAGCTCTACTTTTTTTTTTCTCTAAGGAAGAGAGAAAATACCATTTCAGATTGGCTTTTGTTTGATGATATCTAGTTAGAAAGTGGGCTAGACATTAAACTAGAAGTACTTCTCTATGTGGCTTAGAGCAAAAAATTATTTGAGATGTGATGAATTGCTGAGGGAGCAGAAACAACTGCTTGGCATTGATAGTGTTTAGTTGTATGCCCTTTAGGACAACTGAGAAGAGTCAAGGTGGTTCATTTCTTACACTTAAGTAATCCCTCTGTCCTTCTCCTTCCCCACCCCCACAAGACCAACAGAGTTTGTTCAGTTGTTTGAATTAATCTTTTTTTTTTTTGGTACCTTTTATGGAGATGAAAAACTTTGGGATGGGGGAAATAGAAGGAGACAAGTCGTATTAGCAAGAAGTTTTCTAAAACTGTACCTTGGACTGTGTCTGGAAACATCTCAAAGAATTCTAAAGAGCCAGATGAAGTTGGTTAGCATCACTTTTTGACATCCTTTTGAGGGAAGCCCTGAAAAGGAACGTGTTGGATGGAAGGGAGATTTGGTTGCTAAAGTGCAGAGCTGAGCACTCAGGATGGTGGGTTGTGTTCCTGCTGCTGCCATCGCATGGCAGTGTGACATCTGCCTGAGCTGCCGTCCTGCTTGCACCTCCTAGGAAACGGAGATTTTCCTGAATCTGTTAAGTGCTTTTACACATGATTTTAAGAATAATTACGTGTAAATGTATTACTCCTGGTTTAGTTATGGTTTTGAATGGTGGTTGGGTGGTAGCTTTGCTTGTGCTGATACTCATTCTTTGAAACTTGTAAAGTAGAACTCTTGATCATTGCCATTTATTTTGAGTGGCATAAGATTTTTGCATTACTGTAATGGTTTTGAGACTAAAGGTATTTTATCCCCTGTTCATCTCTGACAGTATCAGTGCATGCTTCCTCTAGGGTACATAAACAGTCTGCCTCAAGCTGTATTTGAAGGGCACTGTTGGTCTCTCCAGAAAGAAACTATTAAGTTGAATTGCAGGGTGGAAGACTGTCCTGTGGGGACTGGGCTGAGGACCCCCCTCAGTGTGATGCATGCAGTTCCTGGTAATTTTTTTGAGAGGTCTGTAATTATGAGATTGGCTTTGTATGTTTTATTTTTTTTGTTTGTTTCTTTTCTAATTTTAGATTTTTGCCTGCGATTTTAAGTCTTTAAGATCTCTATCTTGAAATTAAATGTAAATGTTGTGTGGTTTTCTAGGGCTTTTTTGAAAGCTCAAGTTTTCTTGTGGTTTGTTGGTTTGTGTTGTTTTTTTTTTTTTTTTTTTTTCATACAAGGGGTTGGGACTTTACAGCATAATGGGGCTTACTCTCAATGCTCACCTTCCTGTAAGGTTTGAGACTTGTAAATTTTGTAAATGGAAGGCATTACCATGTTGCAGGTAGTTCTTGGTGAAAAGGAGAGACTTGATTCTGCAGAAGCTTGCTAGTAGGTAGCTGCGTCAGCTTTGGGTTGTAAGTTGGTGTCTCCTTGCATACGCACATAGCTAGCTCTGTGCTTCTGAATCTGGACAGCTTAGTTGCAAATTCCGTTTCATAAATAACTAATTCTTTCTATCCTTCCTAACCCCGTTTAAGGTTTGTGGTGATATCACAGCTTTGACAAGAGTAGTTTTCCTGGCTGATGAGAGGATGTTTGTATCCTTTTCTCCTGTTACTGTTCTGAGGACTATATGTCATCTCTCTGTACTGATAAAGTATGGGCAGTGGGGAGACTGGCCTGTGTGTGCCAGGCGGTGCCCTGCTGCTGCTTCTTTCTAGTTCGTTACCTGTGAAGTTGAGATCCCACAACTTTGTCCTGCTTGGGAAATGAAGGCAGGTTTGAGCTGTAGCTTGTAGAGGCTTGTTACATCTGCCACGGGAACTGCAGACTCGGCCCTTTTGGGTTGTTACTGCACTGAGATCTCTGTAAGCATCTAGTCATCTTTGTGATAACAAATACAGAGTGCTGAATATCTGAGAGGACTTGAGGAGATAGGTGCTGTAAGCTTTCAGATGGGAGGCACTTGAGAAATCTGCTTAATTCGCCTTTTTACTTTTGAGTTACTTCTTAAAAGGGGGAGGAATCTGTTTACTTTCTCATCATGCTTGGAAAAAGGGCTTGCCCACAACAAAAGACATTGTAATGCTTTCAATAGTCCAGGATTATTGAACAAAAGCATCTTGCTGTGCAATATTGTTGCTGTGCTCAATGTTGTATGATAACACATGTTTCTCAGCTGTTGTTGATTCCTCAGTGGCACAGACTTCAAAGGAATGCACTGAAAGAGAGCCATGGCCAGGGAAAAAACGAGTTTTGTTCCAGTGGCCTGTACCATCCATCTGTTTAAATACTTTGCTGAACTATTCCAGAGTGTTCAGGCATCCAGTTAGGGCTGACAAGCAATTACAGCTGGAAATGGAGCCTACTGCAAAGGGACCACCTAGCAAAGGCTTATGTGCTACCTACCCTATGGGTCAGAGCCCCCCTGCCATCCCAGGCAGCGAGAAGAGATAAGGCTCGTCATGTCAACATGACATTGTCTAATTCCTAATGCTATTGAGGACTTACTTATTTTTACTCTCTATGCTATCTTTAGCACAAGAAGGGAAGAATGGTAATGAGGACAGAAGGTCATCTCTATACTCTCTTCTTTGCATGTAACAAACTAGGTCTGTAATTTAAATGAGTAAATATTTATAAAAAAACCCAGTGAATTGTTTCTTTCCCAAAACACATGGAATAGTTAACAGATCACTTAAGTGTCTGCAAAGGTAGCAATATACACGACTAAATTAGTTTTAGTTCCAAAACATTACTAGAAAAGTTAAAATTTGAGCCAGTTACACTGTGCTATTTCAGATTGAGTTTGGGGAAACACTCAACAGCTTAATCCACAGTAACAAATAAAAATCCCATGTGTACTCATGCATTATGATACACTAGGATGCTGCCAATTACAAGTGTAGGAATTTATGTTTTTACTTAAATTCTGATATTGGAGTGCACTGTGCAAGGTGGATCTCAATTTGTGGTTGCAAAATGAATCTTCAACTCGTGGTCTGTGTGTTCTCTGTATCCCCAGATACTGGAACTCGGAGGGGATTATTAATAGAGAGACTACAACTAAACTATTGATAACCCGTAAAGATCCTTGAAGTTCTTCTGTGTGGGACTGACACATATTTTGTGGATTGGGATGAGTACTGTAGATAATGTGTATTTCAGTCAAGAAGGTTTAATCTTCTTTATGAATAGAAAATGTTCATGCAGATGCACTAAGAGGTTATTTGAGCTTTGAAAAATTGTGAGACACTCCAGGATTCATTTTTCACCTGCAAACAAGCAACACAGCTCTAATGGTAAGCTTGAATGTTGTCCTCTGCTGTAGTGTTATTCCTACTTTGTACTGTGATGTGTCATTTATACTTTTGAAAGTATACTTCTTTCTCCCAGTGTTGGCAGTTATGATGTTTTTTTGACGTTTTGAGACACCAGATTTTTATGCTTTACTACCTCTTTGAGCAGAAAGGAGAGGAAAACTTCTAGAAATATGTAATGTAACTGACTTCCATCCAGCTTCTGCCCTTGCTCCAGGGTTGACATTGTAATTTGAATTAATTTACCTGCTTTGAAAGCTGTACTAGGTGTAACCTTGAGTCTTACTTCCTTTACTGCAACGGTACCTGATGTATTTCCAGCATGCACCTTGCTGTGTCTCTAGATCATCCAGTCTTAAAATGGTGAGGCAGTGTTGATGCTTTCTTTTTATTGTATGCTTCTCTTTAATCTTAAGAACTGTAACTTCCTTTTCTTTCAACTGAACTGAAAGTTTTTTGCTAAAAGATTTTTGGACTCCTGAAGTGTTTGTCAATGTTTTCAAGCTGTTATCCAAAGAGGGTTTGGAGTTTCCGGAACAACCTTTTGAAACTTAACATTTTATCATCAGTCAGCAGTTTCATGAACATGGATAAGGAAAAGCTGTAATTCCACTAGGCAGCCAGATGTTTTGTGTCTATGCCAAAGCGGGGATGCAGTGTGGCTTTAGGAGCTGGAGGGTCTGTTCTTGTGACTGGGCTGTTTGAGGATCTTCAACAGATCATATCTGCTTTCTCTCCTGTCTCTTCCCTTTCCTCTTGTCATGTCTGTATTGATTGTGACTTCTTCCTTCTAAGTAAAATCAGATTGAGACCAAAGCATTCTTTGTTGCTCTCTAAAAAGTAGATATTTGTTTCTTGTCA